CCAAAAGTTTCGTTGTTTTCTGGTCATTTTTGCATGAGAATAGGGAACTTTCTATTAAATTCGACATGCTATCTTTCCTATTTTTACAGATTGACCCTTTCCCGGGATCAGTTCCACCTCTACAATGAAATACATTAGATTCTGTTATGCACCGCATGTTGCATCCTCCCAAAATCCATAGGGTGAAGCCCGAAGTCCCAATGTGATGGTGTTTGAGAAGGGGCCTTTGGGAGGTCATTAGGGTTGGATGAGGTCCTGAGGGTGGGGCCCTCGTGATGGGATTAGTGCCCTTATAAGAGGAGAAAGGAGCAGATTTGTTCTCTCTTACAAGAGAAGACACAGCAAGAAGGCGACGGTCTGCAAGCCAGGACGTGAGTTCTCACCAGGAACCAAATCCGCCAGCATGTTGACCTTGGAGTCCCCAGCCTCCAGGACTGTGGGAAATAAAGTCCTGTTGTTTAAGCCACGTACTTTATGGTATGTTACGGCAGCCCAAGCCAACTGAGACAGATTGCAGCTAAGTTTTACCTGAGAAACTCTGAGGCCGAGGCAGAGGCAGAAGTAGGGGTAAGACCAAAACTTGGGGGAAAAAATGCTTAGTCTAGTGAAGCAGTTACTTGGCAAATTTGCCTTTTGGGGATGTGTTAACCTGTTTCTCCAGAAGAAGCTGTGTCCAGGATTCAGCATAATCATTCCCTAGCTGCGTGGCCTTGGATAAGTTACTGAATCTCTGTGTGCCTCAGTTTCCCCACTGACCTGGACTATAGAGCCATAGTAAACTTCCTCCACCCCAAACACAATGTGAGAATGAAATAACCCAACACACGTCTGCTCTCAGTAAGTGCTCAGAAATGTCGGCTATTGTTATTCCACCTCTTGAGAGTTTAGAAGATAAAGAGATAACAAATATAAGAACACTTTGAAAAAGAACTAGGCAAGCCCAAAGCGTTGCTAAAATTAATATTAAGCAAAACTGCTCTGAGTGTAGATGGTGAAATCCGGGCTCCCTGTAGTTATTGGCTGAGTCTTTGTCACAACTGTCAGTCAGCTTGCTCTGCTGTTAGATTCTGAACCCAGGAGAAGCTACCAACACCATGGTCACAAACAACACCAAAGGAAAGTGAAGAGTCACTCTGATTTGCATTTCCAAAGCTCCAAACTATAGGTCCTTGTCACACAACTCCATGGCTGTCTGTGCCATTTGGGCTAAACCTGAGCCAAGTCTCTCTGCCTGGGCAGACTCTGGCAATAGCTGGCATGGTCCTTGGAGTACATTGCCTACCGGTAAATCTGGTTTTGGATGATATAACAGTATGAGGTCAAGTCAAGATGTAGGCTGGGTGCGAGGAAAATCCCCCTTTGCTGACGCTAACTGAAAGCGGGAATTACATTTCAATATCGGATATATCCAAAAGGACTATTTGTCCATGACACTAGGTAAGGTGTTCCAGCAAGTCACAATTCTACGATGTCAATTCCATAAGGGCTGGGACAAATATCTGTTTTATGTACTGCATAATCCCGGTACCTAGCCCAGAGGGTGTTTAATCAGTATTTGCTGGCTGGGTGCATCCAACATCAACAACTATGGCCAAGACTGCTCTGCCCCACCCTGAAAGCTCAGCTTCACTTCCTCACTTCCCTAAGCTCAGATGACTTTTCTAAGTTCTCCTTCCTCCAGGATTCTCACTTGTAAAAGTATACTTGTTGAAATGCTTCTGAACTAGACAGTAAACACTCTGAGAGGAGGGACCACATCCTCTGGGGTGTGGTTTTGTGGCCTGAGAAATGCTCACAAGTGCTCATGAGTGAGCTGTGATGAGCAGAGGCTGCCCGGGTAGAGGAGCAGTGGGTGTGGGATGGAGGGATGGACGCCTCCATACCCAGTCCCGCCATATACCCCTACTAAGCAGTCAGGCTCACCTAAGGAGGCCAGAGCCCTCCGCTGACCACCACAGGGCAGGGTTCCTCCTTGCCTCCACAACACAGTCCAGGAGCACCCTTCTACCTTCTTTGCATCATCCCCCAGCCATCTGGACATGCTTGAATGTACTGGTCCTAAAGGGTTAAAACAGGAGCTTAACACCATATATTATCCCAGGAAGCCGCAGGACAGGCTGGGCATGTTGAGACAAGATGGAGAAAGCCAGCATCTCCCTTTAGGCAAGAAATGTAGCAGGAAAGCAGGTTTTTAGTCCCCGGCCTTGAGGAACATGGCGGGTGAAGCAACTTCAACAATTATCCAAAGAAAGCCTAATTTAATCGGGGCCAAACCCAGTGGTCCCATCCCCAGCGCTTTCTAACATTTCCACTTAGATTTTGTGACCCAAAACTGTGTCACAAAATTTACTCCTGAAACCAATGTGATTAAAATCACTTTGTTCTGAGAATTTTAATTTCTGTTTTCCTGTTTTTAGGACTCTTGCAATAGGCTTCAGATATTTATAGAGGCCTCCTCAAGCTGATGTTTTCTCTTTCTTTACTTTTTTTAAGTAATAAGAGAATGACAAAGCTCCAGGAGCAGCAAACTATGAAGACGGAGAAGTCTACAAATACCAGTGTTGAAATCAAATAAAACTTTCTCCAGAGTGAATGATACACACCCAGTGACATACATCATCAACATTGCACTGATAGTAACCAGGCAGGCAGAAGTCAGATAACCAAGGCTCCTGCCGCCATGGATTGGGAGGTGACTTCTCTGTCCCCAAATTTGGCATGTTCTCCCTTGCCTCCTGCCATCCTCTCATGCTGTTCACCCCTGCCCAACCCCCCTTGCCAGTCCTTGCAAGGTCTTTCTGCCGGTTATATGCCTCACTGATTTCCATCCTCCTCAATCCCCCAGCCAAGAATCATGGGGCCTCATCGGGAGCCAAGCACAGCACTAAGCTGCTAAGCCCCTTACACACGTTAATCAGTTAACCTAGCAGCACAGCAGGGAGCTCCCCCAAGCAACAGCAACCCTATGCGGTCGGTGTTATTATTATTACCCTCCCCCGTCTTCTTGGAGGAGCAGACTGAGGTAGAGAGAGGTTAAATAACTTGCCCAAGGTGACATAGCTAGTGAGGGCAGAGCTGAGATGCGAGGTGAGGCTCCAGACCCCACGCTCACGTACGTCTTACATTTACAGCATTTTACATCGTACCTCTCCATTTTACCTCCCCTACCTGGCCTTGCACGGTCCACTATGGTGACTCTTGAGTTTGTTTTATCTCCCCAGAACTGAACCCATGACAGCAGGGACCACATCTTTCTTGGCCTCATATTAATATGGACCATACTCAGTGGCCTACAAATTGTTTTGCTTGGGTATCCCATAACGGGATTTGGAAAAACAATAAAGCTCATCTGTATCAGTCAGCTCAGGCTGCCATAACAGAATACCATAGACTGGGTGGCTTCAACAAGATAAATTTCTTTTTTCACAGGTCTGGTGGCTGCAAGTCTGAGATCGGGCTGCCAGGACGGTTGGGTCCTGGTGAGGGAGTTCTTCCTGGCTCGCAGACAGCTGCCTTCTCGCTGTGCGACCACATGCCATACCTCGGTGTGTGTGCTCAGAGAGACAGAGATTTCTGTCTTCCTCTTCTTATAAGGGCACTAATCTCACCATGAGAGCCCCACCCTTAGGGCTTAATCCAACTCTAATTCCTCCCAAGGGCCCCATCTCCAAATACTATCACACGGGGGGTTAGGGTTTCAACACATGAATTTGGGGGTGGGGGGTGGGGCACAGACGTTCAGTTCATACCACCCTCACACAGTTTTGAGTTATCGTTAATGTTTATCATAACTTTAAATTAGTTGCCAAAGATATCATTTCAATTGAATCTGTAAATGTAGACTTTTATAATAAAATTATTAAACCACTCTTTTAAATATATACAATGTAATGTAAACACCAGAACAATTTGAAAACCACCATCATTCCTTTAAAAATTACGCGAGAACATTTCTCATTAAGTCAGAAATTTTCTATCATTTTTTTCAAAACTGTCTTTCCATTCTATCTCAATACAATATATTTTTATGTTCAAAAGTACTTAGTTAGCTTGCCCCATTTCTCTGAAATACAGATTTTGCATATAAATTGAAATTTAATTTTTTACATTCTACTCCAAGCGTGAAAAAAATATCCCTTCTAGATTGAGTTACTATCACAATTATTATTCTAAGTGATAATTTATAATCAAACAAATATATTATAAATTTTGACAAGTTATTATTAAGCAGACGATAATTTTACTGCACAAGCATCTTTAACAAGATGGACGGGAAGGATGACTTGAAGAAGAGAAGTGTGACTTAAAGAGTCATACTGACTTGAAGAAAGGCAGTTTCCTTGACATCAATAGTTCGATATTCCCCCGGAGACATTTTAGCCAGAGCAGAGCATCCTGCTGAGGTCCCGGTTCTGATTAAGCGGGAACGGGCCACCTGTACAGGGCTAATGACGCACCAGGGCCGCAGCACCCTGGGTTCTCAGACAGATCTGCTTTAGGAAAGAGCTGGGTTCTGAAAACTGATTCCTCTAAAATGATCTGTGCCTTCAAGCCCTTGGGCAAATCTTCAAATTCCTCCAGGAGCATGCATTCCCATTTGAAGGGCCCTGCCTTCCTTCAAACTGTCAAATGTAGGGGTTGGGGGAACCTTCACGAACCACAAGATCAACTCAGCACATCTACCTGGAATATCAGTATTCCTGGATGGAAAAGCCTGTGAGGTTCTCTGCCGTCTGGAGAAGCAGATATTGAAGTTTTAAAGCAAGAATTTGCTTCAATCAGATACACGTGGGTCACCCAGCACACAGGCCTTCAGATGAGATAATGGATGGGTGGTGCAGAGACAGGAAGGGGGAGTGTGGGTAGGAGGGAAATCAAGGCCCCCAGTAGAAGCCCCACCAAATGCTCCCCCTCTTCACTGGCTGCTCAGAAGACCCAGCCCCTAAAAGCAGCCTTGCTCCTCTCTGAGCTCCAGACAAGATTCCTTTCAATCTACTTACCCCAAGTTGAAGTTCTCACGGGCTGGTAAATGCAGTGAGCTTATTTGCAAGCCAGGGTCATATCTGCCTAGCAACCCAACGTGAAGACTAGAAGGACTCTAAATGTTGACAGAGAACAAGCAGGCCAACTTTGTACAAAGGAATCTGTTCTCATGCAAATGACCCTGAGCAAGATGGCTAGAAAAGAGAAAGCAGTGGGGATAGCTCTCAGGAGCCAATTTATTTCCCGAGAAGATGCTGAGGGACTTTTTAAGGGCATCATTATCGCCTTGCCCACCGTAAATGAAGGGCCGGAGGGCTCTGCTGACATGGGTTGCAACAGACACAACAGAAGAGGCTAAGAGGGGAGCTGAACCCTTGACTTAATTTCCAGATTTTTCTGGTTCTGTACTCCAGACTCCAAAGGTTCTTTTGTTCGGATTTAGAAGTAAACAGAGTTAGTTTTGTTGGTTGGGGGGGGGGGGGTTGATTAGCATGGTAATACTGTGCTCTCCCTCTCTTTGCTTTCCCTGGAGGAGTGAAAACAGCAGGGGTTTTCACGCTTCGTCTGACTAAGATTGAAGGAACAAGGTAGAGCCAGCCTCTAACCAGGGCGGGCAAGAGTCATCGGTCTGTGGCTGGTAAGGCTGGGCAGAGGTTGGAATTCCAGTCACCTCGCTGTTATCCAAACACAGGTGGCAAATGTCATCTGTGGATGAGCTCTGGTTGCAAAAACGGTCAGTGTGTCCATAAACGTTGTGAAACTTCCGGTGAATACCTCCAGTGCTCTGTGCCTCAACTTTTCTTGTCTGCAAAATGGGGATGAGTGTCAATTGCAGAAGGTTGCTGATGGGCTTAAAATTAGATCATACGTATGACACTTAATACGGTGTTGGAAACGAAGCAAATATGCAAAAAATTAATAATAGGTATAATTATTATTAATAAAAATATTATTATTATTATTATTATTGTTACAGTTATGCCCCCTCCCAACAGCCAGTGGTTTCACTTGGTCAAATACTCACATGTGACTTTCCCAATCATTCATTCACCTCCAGCGCTTCTGGTATTATTTATCTAATTTTTATTTATCTAATTTTTACTTATCTAATTTTTAAAATCAAGACGCTGAAGGACTAAGATCTTTCATGACTTGCTTAGAGTCATAAATGACAGTTATAAATGGTGGGCTGCACCCCTAGGTTCTCAAGCAAGACTCAACACAGTAAATGCTGTGTCGAATTAAGTATGACATTTCCATGCTGAGTGCAGTGACAGGTCCTAATGCACTGTAAGATCCTCAATAACAGAGATTAACTTACAGTCAGTCCTGTTTTAGTACTGCTTTTATTGTAGTATTAAAATCAGTTTCTAAAGGGGCTGGCCCCGTGGCCAAGTGGTTAAGTTCGCGCACTCCGCAGCAGGCGGCCCAGTGTTTCGTTGGTTCGAATCCTGGGCGCGGACATGGCACTGCTCATCAGACCACGCTGAGGCAGCATCCCACATGCCACAACTAGAAGAACCCACAACGAAGAATCCACAACTATGTACCGGGGGGCTTTGGGGAGAAAAAGGAAAAAATAAAATCTTTAAAAAAAAAAAATCAGTTTCTAAAGATCATTACCTGCGGAATCTTCGAAGAACAACTCCAGAAAGAATCGCTTGCAAGGTGTGCTGGAGTCAGCTGTGGGACTTGGTAAGCCATAAATAACAATAACAATAAGACCTAATGGGTCCTGAGGGCTTACCATACGCCAGTCACTTTGATCTGAAGTTTACAGGCATCTAAATTAAATCTTTCAGTTCTGGGAATGCCACCATTGTCCCCATTTTACAGTTTGGGGAACTGACGCTCTAAGAAGATGTGACTCCGACAAGGTTGCAAAGCTACTCAGTGGCCCCTGGCTGTACTGTACTGGCCGTAACGGCGGTGTACCCCAACACACCTGCTCCCACCTAACCCACGCCGGAGCTTGTTAACAGCACAGGGCGGCATTTAACTCAGCGGACCCTATCCCAAAATCATGAGAGAAATCAGGCAGCGAGCAAGGAGGGATTTTTATTAAAATTCAGATCGCCGGTTCCTCCCGGTGGCGACCCCCAGTGCACACACTCCCAAACTAGGCTCTCTTGAGTTTCTCACCTTAGAACCACATTCTCCAAACCCCAATTGCAGGGAGCAGCCGGTGCCAAAGCTGGGAGAGGAATTTGGAGAATAAGGCCTTTGCTTTCGAGCAGGTCCCAAATTGGCCCCGGGGATGTGAGGTGGAGACCAGGAAGCCAAGCCTGCGCCCCCGTGGGCTCCAAAATGCCTGGGATCCGGCACACTGCTTTGTCCCCAGGATGAGCTCTTAACCGAGGTTTCTCGTGAATCCTGTGCTGAGTCAACAGTGACCCTGGGGTCGAGGACTTAGGGATGAGGGGCACGTATTGCCTGAACATCAGGGTCCCTCCCCTACCGGGAGCTCCCCGCGGGCTAGGCAGCCATGCACCTGTGCGCACGTCGCCTTCCGCCCGGCAGGGAGGATGCGCGCGCGCCCGGGGCCGGGGATGCTGACTCAGCCTGGCGGCTCACATCCCTTCAACGCGGATGCTGTTTGTGTTGCTGCTGCTGCTCTTACAGCAAAGAGTGAAAAGCAGGGCACCCATAGCAGCCGGGCCGCTAGCTCCCTCGGGCCCATTTCGGCAGTCCCTCCCCCGCCCTAAAGGGGAACCTTGGGGGAGCACGAGTTGACGAAATTGGGGGAAGTGAGCGCTGGAGGAGGAACTGGGGTCCGCGGCGCCGCGCGCGCAGCTCACACCCAAACTGGAAGGAACCTGTTCTGCTCGCGGGGAGCGCCGCCGGGGAACAGCCCCAGCGCGCCCCCCAAGGCAAATCCCCAAATCCTCAGGGCGCGGGCGAGACTTGGCGGTGGGCGCGCCGGGGAGCTGAGGGAAGGAAAGCGGCCTGGGGACCCGCGCGCGCGCGCCCGGCTAGGGGTCCTCGCAGAGAGGGTGCAGGCGCCCCCGAACACGCCCGCGCTCCCACTGGCAGTGCGGCAGAGCGCCGGGGTCTGGTCGCGCCAGGGGTGCAGAGCCGCGCCTGGGTCGGGGAGACGGGGGTGGCGTGCCAAGGACCCCGGCGGCGTGAGCGGGGGCGGCTCCGAGCCGGACTGCGACGCCGTTACCTTCCGTGACCCCCAGCCCGGGACCTGAGCGGGCGCGCGCCCGGCGCGGCCCCGGTCCACGTGGGCCGGCGCGCGCGCGCCAGGCTGGCCCCTTCCTTGGCGGCGCTCAGCGCTCGCAGCACATGGTCGGCGGCGGCGCGCCCCCGAGGCCGGCGGAGACCGGCTGCAGCCGGTATAGGATAAGAGATAGGCAGCGACGCGGGGCCGGGGCGCGGGCAGCCGCACGCACGGCCCGGGCGCAGGCGGCCGGGGTGGGGGGCGGGGGGAGGGAGTGGCTGGGGTGTCCGAGGAGCGGGAGTGGGTGGGGGGCCGGCGCCGGGGCCGGGCGCCCGGTGCTCACCCGCCCGAGCCAACTTGGGATAGGCTAGGGCCCGCGCCCTAAGGGGTTAAACCTTTCTCATGTTACCGAGCGGCTTATAAGGAGGGGGAGGCCAAGCCTCCGCCTTATTGGGAGCCTTTTGGGGTTTATTCTCTTCCCTTCTAACTTGGTGAGTTGGTTTTATTATTTTACATGTTTAAAAGTTTGATTGTGGGGGGTGGGCTTTTTCTTTTTTTAATCTGTGTGGGGAGCTTTTTTTTTGGCGGGGAGGTTGGGGAGTCGGAGGAGACCACTAAACATCTTAACATTTTGGAAAGGTTATTCCGCAAAATATTTTTTCTGACAGTTGGGAATGCTCAAGGGCCACTGGGATGACGCGCTCTCGCCGGTGTGGACAGCTGAGAGTTGAATGTCCGTGGCCCTCTTAGAGTTGGGGTCCGGAAAATACCTAAAGGCAGACTTGGCCCTTGAGTGTCCCCGCCCCGGGTTAGGGGCTCCAGGCCGTCGGGCGAGTCGGGGGCGCCGCGCTCGGCCCCTGCGTGGATTTTCCGCATGAAGTTGCCTGCGCGTCACGAGAGCGAAATGTCAGAGGTACCTTCCCCAGGCTCGCGCGCGCATCAGGGCGGCCACGGAGGGACAGCGGGGATCCCTGTGTCCCCCAGCCCACGCACACCCCCGGGGCGGCCACCGTGGGGGAGGCAGGGGTTTCCCTGCAGAGCGCAGGTCCTGCACCTTGACCGTCAGAGCTGTCAGCTGCGGACGGCTGATCCCGCTCAACTTCCCAGGAGCCGTCAACCGCAGGAAAGCGCCCGTGTAGCCGAGCAGTTCTGTAGCGAGGGAGGATGATTTTGCAGAAGAAATGGGTTATTTCCTTCTGGATTTTTTCCTTTTTTAAAAAAACTAAACCCCCAGCGTCCGCCAGCAGACAGGTGATAGAAGTTTTAGGTGGCACGTAAAATGTCACCAAACACGGGGGGGCGTCAGTCTTAGAGAAAGCTCCTCGGAGCCAACCGGGGAAGAGCAGTTACAATTTGTCAACCTGGAAGCTGGTTTTGTTTGCACAGTTAGACACTCCATGCCAGCTCTTTCTCGAAGGAGATGGTTTCTACCCCGGGAATGAGATTTCTCAGTAATCTTAGTGTTTTGCAAATCATAGTAAGATGAGTGTCTTGTTTGCAAAAAAATACCAAGTGCTTATGCTGAAATCTCTAAATGGTGCACCTCCTCAGGCCCCAAGCATCATTACGTGGCATTTTTGGGGTCAAGAATACATCCTGCCTGGTGGATATGGGAATACCTCTTCTCATAATTAAGGGAAGGGTGGCCAAGATAGAGAGTTACACTATGTAAATAAACAATGCAGCCAAGTGGAAAGCTCCTTCTCTCTTAATGAGTACCACTAACCCTGAGTTTTCCTCCTGTGGTTTCCAAAAGAGGACTTTCCTCAGTGGAACTCCCAAGGAGGACACAAATTAGGGGCTCAGGTTTTGACGTCATGATCTTGGAAAATGGGGGAATCGGTTGTACTCAATGATCCAAAGCTGCTGAAGCAGCCCTCCAAGTTAGGTTTGGGATTTTTTTTTTTTAAATAGAGAATTCAAATGAACTTCACCTAAATACAGACTGGTTTTGACAACGGGGGCCCGGAAACAACTTGTGGAAAGCTATTCTCCAGGCTATGCCTTTAAGAAGAATGGACATTGGCAGTGCGTTTTCCAAGGCTTTGCTCACATCGGCAGCCATCACCGTTTCCATCCAAAGCCTGCATTTTGAATTTGCTCTGAACTGACCCTGGAGTAACACCTCGATGGTCTATAATAATCCAAATTTGCATTCTTCATGCCCCTGAGGCAAAGCTTTTCTCCACAAATCAAATCACAGTGAAATTCCCAGGTATAGCAGATTTCCAAGCCTGGGCAGATTACTCATTTATTTAAGGTTAAAACAACCAGATGCTCACAGGGAATACTCCAAACTCCCCAGCATACTTTGTCATTATACTTCCTTTGGAAGAACCTGAGGGTGAAGGCAAGATGACCGCCAGGGACCCCCGTTCAGAATCATAGAATTTTACAGTTGGAAGAGACCCTCAAGGCCACAGTGTTTAACCCTTGCTTTTACAGATGATGAAATTTAGGGATTAAGTGATTTCCCCAAGATTGTACAGGCAGTTAATGGTAAACAGAAATTCAACAGGTAATGCCCGAGGGCCTCAAGGAGACAAACCCACAAGCCTAGTGTCAAAGGACTCCACCAGCATGGAGAAAGCTCACAGGGTAACCCAGAGCAAGGCAGAGGCAAAGGCTGTCACGGAATCAGAGAGTCACAGGGCAGGAAGAGATCTGAGATCATCTGAGTCTAGTTCAACGCCCTGTTTGCCTGTTGGTGACACAATCAAGGAGCAGAGTGCTTTGCCCAAGGCCAAAGGGTCGCTCAACTTGCCTCACCAGTTAGATCCCACACAGTAAACGAACATATCTTCCCATCAGATAAATGCCATAAAACCAAAGCAGGCATTCTGGGATTCATAGAGGCTTCTAAGTAACAGTTCAGAATTCAGGCCTTAGTTTCCTGCTTTGTCTGTGGAGGCTGAGAGTTTGTTAAGCCAGGCGGCCTGCTGAGTGAATGGAAGAAAGGAAAGGACAGGGTCCAGGAAAGCATTTCTTCTGCATCTGGGGACTTCCTCAGTTGATGGCTGGGTTTTGTACAGATAGAGCAGTGTGGTGCTTCAGGAGCAGCCCGGGCCTCATACTTGGTTTAGTAAACTTTTATTGAGCACATACTGTGTGCCAAAACGCTGCCAGGCACTGGGTCTGAGAAGAGCGGCTGACTGCCCCGGAGGGGCCTGCCCTGTAGGCTCTTAATGCAAAATGCAGAAGTTATCATCGGGAGGGTTTAGAAACCAGGTTATTCTATTCTTATTCTATATTGTGGTCTTATCTTCAAAGCTAAATAGAATAGGACAGAAGATGCGTCAGGATGAGAAAGGCATAAACTTTGGAGTCGGAGTGGCTTCTGAGGTGTCATCTTTCCTGTATGATGTTCCCAGTAATCATAATAAGAAAGCTTCTGGCCTCCAAAAACCTGAGAAGGCAGGTGAAAGTTATATTTGGATCTTAGCTTCCAGAGAGCGGCACAGATGTAAGGCAAAGTTTAAAAAAACAAACAAAAGATTTGAACACCCAGAGGTGGCTCAGAAAATAAAGTAGAGCAACCAAAAATCTGCCATCTTCTAACCAGCTGTCTTTGCGAGAACCATCCAGCTTTTGCACTTTCCTCGGAGCTCCCAGGTTTCCTTGGGCGGCCAGGTTTGGCCTGAGGGATCATGATTAATAGGACTCAGTGCTAAATACGAAAGTGTCAGCTGTTAAAGTTGGATGGAGCCTTCAAGATTCTCGAGTCCAACCTCCTCATTTGACTAATGAGGAGCTCAGGCCCAGAGAGGTGCAGTGACTTCCTCAAGGTCACACAGTTAAATGGGGAAACAGCTCACAGACCTCTTTACATACGGAGGTCAAGAGTGTTTTTATCCTTGAAGGAAACCGTCTCCTCACTATATATAAAACACTCCCCTCCCTGGCCTTTTAGATGCTGTCCTGTAGGCTGATACAGCAGGGCCCTGGGAGGCAGGAGGTTTGATTCTGGACCGTTTCGGTCACGTCCCTTTACCTCTCTGGGGCTCAGTTTCGCCGTTTTGGAAAATGAGTAGCATTTTACAGTGAGATGGACGGAGTGAGCTCCAGATCCCCTTTCAGCTTTAACATTCTGTGATTCTGACTTCACTCCGGGGGTGCCGGTTGATGCTAATGCTGCTCATTCTGCACATCCACACCACTGATCCTAACGGGCAAAGAGAGAGTCAGATGGGTGCCCATCACCAGAACAGAAAGGCTGGCCTGACCCAGAGCCTTCTGAGCACGGGGAGGTCATTCCATCTTCATACAAGAGCAGCAGTCTAGTCCCGCTCATCTCAACGCAGTCCAGCAAAAGATGCTGTCTCTTGACCCTGCAGTGATTGTAGGCTAGAGAAAGACTCAGATTGTCTCTTTGGGGCTTTATCAATTTTATCCCAATACGTTTTTATTCAGATGGGTCCTGAGCCCTCTATTAAGACTCTAAGACCTTAGGGGTACCCTTCTGGGTTAGAACCATTGCCAACATGGCCTCGGACTTAGTAGCCACTTGGTCCTGAATGCTTGTCAGAAATGTGCCAAATCCTGGAGGGATGTGGCTGAATGGTTTTAAAATAGGATGCATTTCAGTCTTAAGGTTCCTTCTCATTAACAAAGATTTAAGTCCATTGAGGCAGAAACCATCTCTGTCTTTTTGCTGTAGTATCATCCCAGTACCTAGCATAGGGCCTGGCTCCTAGTAGGCACATTGTTGAAAACATAAATAAAAGCTGTGCGCAAGGTACTGGGGGGTGGGGTGAGGCGGGGATACAGGCCTCAGATTTTGTTTTCCATGAGCTTATAATTTAATTGAGCAAATATAATAAATGCATAAAAGTAAACAATACCCCCTTATTAAATGGCACCTGTCACATGAAGAGAGGCCCTTTGGTGGAGTCAGTGGAGGAGGCATTATGGAGGAAGGAGGATTTGATGGACCGAGGCCTTACAGGTGCCAGCTGTGGGTAGAGGGTGGGGAGCCATCCAGCCGGGAGAAAGGGCACGGCCACAGGCAAGGTGGTTAGAGACTGGAGGCCAAAGAGGAGTCCATTTTGGCCACGGCAGGTGACTCAGGTCTTAGAACAGGAAGGAATAAGGCTACAAAGATAAGTTGGGGTCCACTTATGAAGGACACTGAAAGTCAGGCTAATCAGTGGATTTTATCCTTCAGAAAGAGGAAAGAGAAAAATGTCCTGACAATGCAGCATTTCAACAAGATTATCCTACTGGACCCCTGGAGCCAGTTAAGAGGCTACTAAAGGAGTTGTGGGCTTCCTAAGGAACAATGCCAACTAATGGCCTGGGAGGGGGACGAAATGGAAGAGGTGAAGGCCAAGGACCTGAGCTGTGGGCTCACCACCTCCACTTCCCCTCCCTCCTTCCTACACCCCCTCCCTAGGTAGAAACACGATTCTAAAGCCAACATCGGGAAGGTTTTTGTGTTTTTTTGGTCTTCTAAATCTTAAGCTTACTGTTGTTGCTCATCTGGGGAGTGAATTTTGAAAGTCCAATGAAGGAGGGGTGTTGTGAAAACCTCATTTGCTGGAGGGCTCCGGGCTCCCATCTTCAATCAATTGCTTTCGATGGTGGGGAACACCAAGGACACCCTGCTCTCTAGCTGCTCAGCCCACATCTTGAGCTATGTAACTGTCCTTCCCACCTTTTCCCTTTGCCTCTCAGGAATGACACAGACCCACAAAGGCCTTTGCTGCAGAGAGCATAAGCTTCTTACAGCATCTTATGCCCTATTTTACTCAACCATATATTTAACAGTAATAGGGTAAAAAGTGAGTATATAGTCCTTTCAAAATACTAGGGTATTGTGGGAATGGTGCTATCAACAGGATGAACAATATTAATTTAGGTCAGATTTGCTGCTTTTTAAGATTTTTAGAGTAAATTCAAAATATTAGATCCTAATACCAGAAACTGGCAAGTCTACTGGATAGATGAGGTTGTGTCCTGTTATTTTTCAATTCCCCTCCATTATCAATAAAACCTGCCTTAGTCCTTGAACATGACAACTTATGGCTGGAAAAAGGATACACACACATCCTGAAAATTCACCCGTATGCAACTGTATGATTGTAGGGAATTCTTAAACTCAAGGTGAGTTGCCATTAAGAGCTCTAAGACCATGGGCTCATTTAATATTATAGATACTAATTTTTAGTTGGGCTAAAAACACATACACATCACTGTTTCAATGTGTATGTAATTGCAGAGGCTTTGAAAATGACAGTGTTGACGTGCGGGAGCCCAACGCTGAAGACTTAGGTTAAAGTCCCCTCCCTCCAGGCATTAAATATAGTGTTTCCTCTTCATTAATGGCGACACTGCACAGGTCTGCTTGTTCCAATGTTTGCTGCAGTTTGAACAAAAAAGCATAGTGAGGTTGGGGTAACTTGGTTACATTCACTGGCTGCCCAGCCCCCACAAGTCGGTAGTGCCTTATTTGAACGCTGTATTCTAGAGTACTTGTTGTGTGCACAGAAATTCAATTGCTGATAACACCCAGTGGTGATCAACTTTGAGGAACTTATTCATGCTAAACAAACTCCCAGAAGACAAGCCCCACATTTTGATTTATAGTCACATTCTGTCCACCTAGGCCCATTCACATGGGACACTAGATCATAATCAGAATGCTGTTGAGTGGGAAGTGCGATCAAGGAGAGGTACCTGAATGACATGAATAGTCAGGGGCCTCGGGCAGAGGGAGTCATAAGCACTTATCTCGTGGAAAGTGCTAGATGTACTGTCAACGTTTGCCTCTTTGCCTCCTTTTTTCTAGGCTTCATTTCTGATCAACATTCCTTACGGTCAGTTCGATCTTCCTTTACCTACCTTGTCTTCAAGTTCAAGGGCAGCATCAGTACTTGGTCTGATGGCCATTCTGTGGCCTTCAGATTGCCTCTACATATTCTGTTCTGATTCCTTATGTTTGTCTGTTTTTCCCATTTAATTGTCACAGCTGGGAAGGTTTACTTCCAGATTCTTTGGGGGCTCCATATACAACACAAAGATTTTTTTATATATACATTATTTTCCAAAGATTTTCTACTAACTGCACATGATTTAAATATTCATCAACCTAAGAGATGTGGTAAGTAGTTCTTATCTGTTCTGTTTGCTAAAGAGTATTAGAATCATCAACCTTCATGCTATTGCTGGTCTGAATTCTTTTTTAACTTTTTATTTCAGATTAAGAATGACCCAGAGGGAATCACAGCTTTGTTCCAGAGCCAATGTTTATACTCAAGTGCCTGATGGAGGATGGGGCTGGGTAGTGGCTGTTTCTTTTTTCTTCGTGGAAGTCTTCACTTATGGAATCATCAAGTCATTTGGGGTCTTCTTTAATGACCTCATGAACAGTTTTGATGAATCTAACAGCAGGATCTCATGGATAGTATCAATATGTGTGTTTGTCTTAACGTTTACAGGTTAGTCCATCTTTCAGCTTAAACACTCTATGAGCAAATGTGTCTTTTAATTTGCCTAACTACATGTGTGTGATGTATTTCCTTATATGGCCTGTTGGCCCTTTCTGGCCTAAATTAAATAATATCGTTTGCCAGGAGGTTGGGGATGGCAAGAGACAGGAAGCGCTGAAGGAAAAGGCCTATTTGCCAACCTTGACTGCCTTCAATTTAACACATGAGTATGTAAATTAAGAGCATTAGACACTCTTAGGATCCTGTAGATTACTTTGAGGACAGCAGTAAACCCCAGTTCTATGGGAGTGTAGTCCTTTTCTAAAGAAGCAACATCAAAAGTACTTGCCGTACTAGGCCTGGTCTCATAAAAACATGCTGAGGGAACCGGTTGGAAACATGAAATGTGGCTCCATGAAGAAGAAAGATGGGGCGTGTAAAAGGTAGAGCGTAAAATTACAAATATTGTCCAGAGGGGACACTCAGAGTCCTAAACACTGGCTTCCTGGAGGATTTCACTGGTTGTCAGTGTGCAGTACTCCCAAATCCAACAGCATCAAATAAAATGGGGTTTTAGTAGAATTTTTAACATAGTGATTTTCACTTGGTCCCCTAGTCCTAATTTGACATGCCTATGAGGTCTCAGGATGGTTCATCTGTCTGCTAGGGGTCACACCAAGGGTTTTCTGGAAGAACAAGTCTTTTGAACCCACCTCAGAAAGTTAACCAGGCTGACCTTAAACTTCCCTAACTTTACCCTAAGATACTGTCATGGAACTCTCTCTGAGGTCTTCTAAGCCCTTCTTTACATGTAGTTAGTTTTCAGCCATATAATGTCTTACAGAGGCAGTCCAGGGTTCTTTCCTATTGAGTAAAGTAGGAATTTCTCTTATTAGGCCGAATACTGTCTCCTACAAGTTTCATGGGAGAACTCCTAGTTCCAGTTTAATGGACACTTAATTTTTTAATTGTGGGATATTTACTTTCTCAGAAAGATCATTTAAATGAATTAGAACCAAAATTTTACATTTGGTAATCTAAATAAAAAGAAAATCCCGAAGCTTACCTTTTAGCTCTTTTATAACCAAAGATAATACAGTCGACAAAAAATTTCCAGTTAATACTATTATACCAGAAGATAATCCTTCTAAATGCTATTATTCTAGAAATTAATGCTTTGAGCCAACATGCTCCCTGAAAACGATGATAGTGGTTTCATTATGAGCTATATTCAATATGGTCACATGCCACATAACGACATTTCGGCCAGTGACAGACCACATTTAAGACGGTGGTCCCATAAGATTATACCATATAGCCTAGGTGTGTAGTGGGCTATACTCTCTAAGTTTGTTTAAGTGCACACTCTGATGTTCACACAATGACGACATCGCCTAACCACACATTTCTCAGAACATATCCCCATCCTTAAGCAATGTGTGACTGTATTAGTTTACATTCAGCTAACATAATAGATATGTGTGGACTAACCGCAACAAAAGTTAGGCCTTTTTTCTTCAACCCCTTCTATCCAGCATGCTCTTGTTGCTCCTCCTGCATCCCCTCTCAGTGGTTCCCTTATCTCAGTATCAATGTTAGCCTAAGTAACATATACCTAGGAAACTAATTTGCAAGAGTTAAATGTCTTAAGGGTTATAAAGCATAGATGCCACACAAATTCTAATTCGTCAGCCACTTTGAATTGTCTATCCCATAGGTATCCTTCTGGTGTACATAACTGAGAATTCACTGTACTTTCAGATCATTTTCAGAAAAGTCAAATGAAACTGAGCTAGAATTTGACCCTAATTAGAACTTTTTAAAAAAGACTATAAAGCAGTGTGTATAGAGGGGGGAAAAAAAAGATTCCAGCAATCATAGGAAAACCCATTTTTATTACAGAATTAATATAAATTAAATGCTTACCTAATTTTCTAGGTGCTCATGGTGACTCAAAATCCTTCATCTAAAAATATAGATAGAAGTTTTATACTGTTACTCTGGCTGTCTCTTTAAGGAGTCCAAAGGATATATTGTCCAATTTGAACAAAAACTAAAATAACTCTCGAGCTGACTTAAGTAACCATGGCATACAATGTATTCTGTATTTTACATCGTCTCTCCATGTTCAGGACTTAGAAGAAGGAATCTTATCAAAGCTGACGCTTACGCCTCTGAGAATTAAAATATCACTGTATATTCTTTACCGCAGCTCCCCTCTCCACCGTCCTGAGCGCCCGTTTTGGACACCGCCTGGTGGTGATGGCGGGAGGGCTGCTTGTGAGCACGGGAATGGTGGCGGCCTCCTTTGCTCAGCAGGTCTACCACATGTACATTGCGCTGGGCCTCATCTCTGGTAAGTGTGCTGCAGAACAAGGAAGGAGGGACTCCAGCCCAACGTGTCTTTCTTTCTCTCTTTCTCTTCTTTCTTTAAAATCAGTGGGGTCCCAGATCAGCGGTTTTGAAGTGGGCTGAATGGACTCCAAGGGATATGGGAACCTGCTCTCAAGAGCTTTTGTTTGATTTTTTTTTTTTAATATTTACCAATGAGAAAGGTAACTTTTCTTTTGCAATCGTTTGCAGCCAAAAGATATCATTTTCACAACGTGAGCTCTGAATTGCTTTAGCCGGTATTTTTCCACTCGGGGTCTGAGGACCCTAAGCTGTAGGGGGCGTGCAGGGTGCTGCATTTATTCTTGGGGGTCTGAAAAAACTTTTGCCCCTTAAAAGGAGTCCGTACCCTACTCACAGATTGTATATATTTATATTATATATATTTAGTTAAGCTTTGCACACTTTTAAATTTTTCATATATTTTAGCACATATCAAAACTCATTTATTTTCAAATTAAAGTCTTATATAAAAACTATATTCAGTACCAGTTCTGTCCGTGTGAATTATATACATTTTTTTTATGTCGCTCGTTCTTGGTAAGGATTTACAAAGGATCTGTATGTAGCTGAGAGAAGAGCAAATTATTTAGAATCAGCTCCACCTTTTTTCAAATTTTATTTTTTTATTAACACGGCCATCTTTCTTGAAAGACAAGACTGTCCGGAAGTCTAGCCCTTACCCCTCCCAGCTGGGACCTCAGCTCTCTACCCTGGGGTGGCGGAGCACTGGATATGGGCAGCTTCTCCTTTCCGGGCCCCTCCTGCCCTTCGGTCACTGTCTGTAAGTCACACCTCCCCAGGACTAGCGCAGGGAAGAGGGTGGAGTGGGAAGGGAGATCAAGAAGTTACATACTTATAGGACTGCCCGGTAAAATACATAACGTAACATTTACCATTTTAACCGTTTTTAAGTGTATAGTTCCGTGGCATTAAGTATATTCACATTGTTGTACAACCATCACCACCACCTACCTCCAGAACTTTTATATCTTCCCAAACTGAAACTTCGCACCCGGTGAACACTAACTCCCCATTCCCCCTCCCCCTGCCCCTGGCAACTACTGTTCTACCGTCTGTCTATGAATTTGACTGCACTAGGGACCTCACCAAGTGGGGTCGTACAGTATTTGTCCTTTAGAGCCTGGCTTATTTCACTTAGCCTAAGGTCTTCACGTTTTATCCAGGTTGTAGCATGTCGTAGAATTTTAACGTCCTTTTTAAGGCTAAATAATGTTCCATTGTATGTATATACCATGTTTTTTGGGTTTTTTAAAATTATTTTACTGATGTTATATTGGCTTATAACTATAAATTTCAGGTGGACATTATTACATATCAGTTTCTGTATAGACTGCATCGTGTTACCACCAGTAGTCTAGTTTATTTTTTTTTTTTTTAAGATTGGCACCTGAGCTAACAACTCTTGCCAATCTTTTTTTTTTTCCTGCTTTATTCCCCAAACACCCATACATAGTTGTATATCTTAGTTGTAGATTCTTCTAGTAGTGGCATGTGAGATGCCACCTCAACGTGTCCTGCCGAGCGGTGCCATGTCTACGCCCAGGATCCGAACCCTGGGCCGCCACAGCGGAGCGCATGAACTTAACCACTCAGCCACGGAGCCGGCCCTACCAATAGTCTAGTTTTTATCCGTCACCATACATATGTGTTCCTTTACTCCTTTCTCCTGCCCTCCACTCCCTCCCTGTCTGGTAACCACCAAACTATTCTCCTTATCCATATGTTTGTTTATCTTCCACATATGAGTGAAATCATGCGGTGTTTGTCTTTCTCTCTCTGGCTTATTTTGCTTAACATAATACCCTCAGGGTCCATCCATGTTGTTCCAAATGGGACGATTTTGTCTTTTTTATGGCTGAGTAGTATTCCATTGTGTGTATGTGTCTTGTGTGTGTAGGTAGCACATCTTTATCCATTCATCCATTGGTGGGCACTTGGGTTGCTTCCATGTCTTGGCTATTGTGAATAATGCTGCAGTGAACATAGAGGTGCATACATTTCTTTGAATTGTCGATTTCATGTTCTAATGTTCTTTGGATAAACACCCAGTAGTGGGATAGCTGGGTCATATGGTATGTCTATTAATTTTTTGAGAAATCTCCATACTGGTTTCCAGAGTGGCTGTACCAGTTTGCATTCCCACCAGCAGTGTATGAGGGTTCCCTTTTCTCCACATCCTCTCCAACATTTATTTCTTGTCTTGTTAATTATAGCCATTCTGACAAATAAGTTTTTTTTAATGCAGAAAAGTAGAGGGGAAAAAAACAGAAAAAAGTTTCTATATTCCTAGCATCCCAAAACAACTGTTGCAGCTTATCCAGACTTCTAATGAAACCCATCTTTCTTTGCTACTGCACCTCTTTCCAGAACAAATTACTGAGCTTCCAGAACTTACGATTTAAAAAATGAACACAGACATCCCAGATCTTTGAATGCATCCTTCGGGCATCAGTCAGGATGTGGTTCTCACTGTTCTTTTTGACCTTCCTTCACAGGTTTGGGATACTGCTTTAGTTTTCTCCCAACTGTCACCATCCTTTCCCAATACTTTGACAAAAGACGCTCCGTGGTCACGGCCGTTGCTTCGACGGGAGAATGTTTCGCCATGTTTGGCTTCGCACCAGGTAGGTGGACCACAATGGTCCCAAATGAATGTGGAAGAGGGGAAGCCGCTCAGCTGTTCTTGCTGCACTGACTTATGCCAGCATGGGCTCCTGGGTGACTGCAGCTGTATGCATAATAAAAGGTTATTTGCCTTCTTTGCTCCAGCACATTTTTAGGATCTATCCTCCCTAACCCCCGTTTGAGGAATTCAAACACTTTAATACTAGTGCAGGTTTACAAAAATAGGGAGACACATGGTACATATTCAATGGGAGGGCTTGAAACATCTATTCCAGGGTAAATAATTTACTGACTTGGCGTTGTTCGTGCTATTATTTCTCTCCTTTGTCAAAAGAGCCATTAATATGTGAATTACTCTAACAAGCGGTAGACCGTTCACCTTGGAGACCCAGATTCATTTCCGCGCTGCCGTTTCTTGATGAATATGTCAGTGGATGGCACTTGTTCAAAGGAGATATGTGTAGAAGTATTTTGGGGTGACATGTCATAACGTCTGAAGCTTTTCAGATAGTTTAGAAAAAGGAATGTATGTGTGTGTATAAGTAGACAGAGAAAAATGTTAATTGTCGAATTGAGGTGAAGGGCGGGTAGGCACATCAGTGTCACTCTTTCCACTTTTCTATGGGTTTGGAATTTTTCAAAATAAGACCTTGAGGGGAGAACCAGTGGCTTGTGAACGCCCTGAGGGTAGAGACTGCGTCTTAGTCAGCTTCTTTCTCCAGCACTGGGCATATCTCTGGCACCCGGTAGGCACTTAAGAAATGTTAAATGGAGTAAAGAAAATTAGCCCAATTATTGCCAGATCAGCGTAAAGCACCTTGAAATACCAAACCTAGAATATTTTGCAATTCTAGGTTTTCCATAAGAATGGGGGGAACAAAAGGTATGAGCCAAAGGTATGCTGCAGAAGTAGGTGGGGCCCCCCAGGAATGCGGGGCTATCTCACTAAGCATGTCTTCTGGGCAACCAGGTAACCACCTGCTCTCACACCTGTCAGCTCCTGAAGATGAGAATACAGAGAAATGAAATGCTAATAAACATCCTTTATGCTTTCTGGGAGGATTAAGAAGATGCTTTAGGATCTTGTGGGGCCTGCGTTATCCTATTGCGCTATGGAACTATATGCTCCCTTTGGCTATATCCCTAGCCTCACATTCTGTGCCCAGCCTGCCCCTCCAGGCTGCCTCTGGTCAGCAGCCTAGGACCCAACTTGCTGGCAGGAAGGAGGAGGAGTCCAGTAGTTAAGGACACTCTATAAAATAGAAACCACAGAACTGTATCATTTAATTCTGGGTGAATTATATGTTTTATTTATTTATTTATTTTAAAAAAATTCTTTTGAGGAAGATTAGCCCTGAGCTAACATCCGCCACCAATCCTCCTCTTTTTGCTGAGGAAGATTAGCACTGAGCTAAGGTCCATGCCCATCCTCCTCTATTTTACATGTGGGACACCTGCCACAGCATGGCTTGATAAGTGGTGTGTAGGTGTGCACCCAGGATCCGAACCCATGCACTCTGGGCTGCTGAGTGGAACGTGCGAACTTAACTTCTGTACCACCGGGCCAGCCCCCATACGAGCTTTTAGATTCTTAGTTTATGTTTTACTTAATCCATTACTACTAAGGACTGAATGAGTGGATATATAATGATCTAGCTCAAAGGTTGGAAATTCTCTTTTTAAAAGGCCAGATGGTAGGGCTGGCCCAGTGGTGGAGTGGTTGAGTTTGCACGCTCCACTTCGGTGGCCCAGGGTTCACAGGTTTGGATCCCGGGCGCAGACCTACACACCTCATCAAGACATGCTATGGCAGCATGCCACATATAAAATAGAGGAAGATTGGCACAGATGTTAGCTAAGGAACAATCTTCCTCAAGCAAAAAGAGGAGGATTGGCAACAGATATTAGCTCAGGGCCAATCTTCTTCAAGCAAAAAGAGGAAGATTGGCAACAGATGTTAGCTCAGGGCCAATCTTCCTCACCAAAAAAAAAAAAAAAAAAAAAGGGAGAAGGAGCCAGATAGTAAATATTTTAGGCTTCATGGACTAGAAAGTATCTGTCAGAACTACTCAACTCTGCAGTTACAAAAGCAGCCGTAGACCACATAAACAAATGAACATGGCAGCATTTCAGTCAAGCTTTGTTATCACAAACGGGCAGTGGATTAGATTTGGCCTGTAGCCTGCTGTTTGCCAAACCTTGATGTAGGTCACACACCTGTTTCACTTCTTGTGCCTCTGCCTGGCAAAATGACCCCTCTAAAGCTCTTTCGGAGACCTGACCCTGAATATTTTTGCTTATGTATAATAATCGTCATGCACATTTTCTCCTTCTTGATTCGTAAGAGCACCAAAATCTACAATAACAGATAGTACAGGTTGACTGCCTTCACACTGCTGAGTAAATTTTTACAAAAATCATTACAAAATCTGAATCCTTATGTCTTCTCAGTATTTTCTCCTGGGTCTTGAGTCCATTACTGACCTTCAGTTTTATTTCTTCTTTGCTCCCGCCTATCTAAGCAATCACAGCTCTGAAGGAGAACATTGGCTGGAGATTCAGTCTCCTCTTCGTGGGCCTACTACAGTTAAACATCGTCGTCTGCGGGGCGCTGCTAAGACCAATTATTATCAGAGGACCAGACTCACTGAAAATAACCGCCCACGAAAATCGGAAAGAAGTGCAATATATGCTTGAAAATGAGAAAACACGCACCTCAATAGATTCCATTGACTCAGGAGTGGAACTAACTACCTCACCTAAAAATGTGCCTAGTCACGCTGCCATGGAGCTGGAGCCAAAGGCTGACATGCAGCACATCTTGATGAAAACCGGTTCCAAGCAAAGCGAGAAGAAAACCCCATTACTGGACTTCTCCGTCTTGAAGGAGAGAAGTTTCATTTGTTATGCATTATTTGGTCTCTTTGCAACACTGGGATTCTTTGCACCTTCCTTGTACATCATCCCCTTGGGCATTAGTCTGGGCATTGACCAGGACCGAGCTGCTTTTTTATTATCTACAATGGCAATTGCTGAAGTTTTTGGAAGAATTGGAGCTGGTTTTGTCCTGAACAGAGAGCCCATTCGTAAAATCTACCTTGAGCTCATCTGCGTCGTCTTATTGACTGTGTCTCTGTTTGCCTTTACTTTTGCTACTGGGTTCTGGGGTCTGATGTCCTGTAGCATATTTTTTGGTTTCATGGTTGGAACGGTCGGAGGGACCCACATTCCGCTGCTCGCTGAAGATGACGTCGTCGGCATCGAGAAGATGTCTTCTGCAGCCGGAGTGTACGTCTTCATTCAGAGCATAGCAGGACTGGCCGGCCCACCCCTTGCAGGTAATTGAAACACACGAAAGACAAACCCTTGTCTACCGTCCCCTTACTGATAGTGCTAGCTTCCTGTTCGAGTCTAATTTTTAAAATCTACTGATTCTTATACTTCCATAGAATGACAGAGCTGGCAGGATTAGAGATTCCCTGAGCCAGCTCTCTTGATTTAAATATGAGGAAATTGAAGCCCAAAGAATATAAGCCAGGTCAGGATTAGAACCTGTGTCTGTGGTCCAGCCTGTCCTAGGCTTTCCCCACCACTTGCCTTGTAAATCCTAGAGGACTCGCATGGACTTTTAACCTCATTACCCTCTGACTTTTGGAGCAACAGAACTAAGGGACTTCTGTCCGTCATCTTCCCTTTTTAGGAAGGGAGTTAGGGCACTGAGCACAGGGCAGCCCTCTGCACATCCTTAACTGACTACTACAGAAAATTTCCCGGTAGGAAGGACACGGGTATGTTTCATATCTCAGACCTGGAATAGGTCCTGGAAGTTCGGTGAGCAGAAATCTTACCCAACGTGAAAACACACCTCAAGTTCGTGAACTCAAGTGAAAACAATAGCGCTCTTTCCTCTCTCAAGAATATTACCTTTTCAGAGAAGCATGCAGCTAACCATCCCGTGATTTAAATTCTCTATTAGGACAGGTTAGCTCATGAAGAACATGTTAGCGACATACCTTTCTCAGGTGCTAAGTACGTTGCATGTTCATCTGATTTATTTCTCCTCCCCCGTCTAGAAAAGATTCCTACCTTCCACACTCTTTTTTCTTTAGATAAACAAGATAAAAGAAAGCAGGCAGAGATGCTGAGAAGCTTCTGAATTGGAGGGGCGCATGGGGGAGAGAGGGTTTGTGTCCATGGTGCTAACAGATGTGAATGCCCTCCCCAGGTCTGCTGGTGGACCAGAGTAAGATATACAGCAGAGCCTTCTACTCCTGCGCAGCTGGGATGTTCCTGGCCGCCGTGTGCCTCGCACTGGTGAGACCCTGTAAAAAGGGACTGTGCCCGCGTCATCAAGGAGGGAAAGCAAAGGCAGAGAGTCGTCGTGGGAAGGTTTTACAAGACATACCCGAAGACTTTCTCGAAATGGACCTTGGGAAAAATGAGCATAAAGTTCACATGAAAATGGAGCCAGTATGACCCACTTTCGTGTAACATCAGCCATCGCGTTGGCTGGGGAGGGGGATGGGGGGGACACAGGGAGGCAGAGGAGCTGACGACTCTACCCACTTTCAAAACTACATTTTAAAGGGAATGTACACGGAACACCACTACCAACATCCTTTTTTCCTTTCTTTTAAGTTTTCCTTTTTGCTTGTTTTTTAAGCCAAAACAAAATCAACCAAACACTCTTCCATACATAAATCTGGCTGTATTCGGTGGCAGCACGGAGATACAGAGAAGGACTCTTTGGTTCACATTCCAATTTTAAAAAATGACATGAATTGGCAAAGTGGTTTTAACCACTCTCACGTGATAAATGACTATCTTATGAAACAACATGGTGCCCAGGTCATTGAAATGAAATTGGCCATTCAAAACAAAAATCTTAAATCATTTAAAAAATGTTTCATTTTCAGAAATATGAACAAATTGTTTAAAACCCTCTGAAAAATACTGAGGTTTCCATGAACAAATCATGGCCTCCCAATTTTCCAAATATCCCATGGAAATGAAGCGCAGTTGAAGAACAAACATTTGACTAATAAATAGAAATTTTAACAATATATGTAACTTGAACTTCATAAATGTGAAGATTGTCACTTCTTTTTATGGCCAGTCCTTACCAGAAGTATTTCAATATAGAGTATACAGAACGGCACTCAAAAATGTGTTTCCTGTTGCTGTTAATTATTCAGAAATATGTGATTGTCGTGTATTTAATTTAAACCACTATTTATTATTAAGTTATTCTAGGATGATTAAAATACTCAAAAGAAATAAAATCTGAGACATAAGCAGCATTTTTACCTCCTTTCTGCAATCGTTTAAATGCCTCAAAGAATATTTCTTATCTTGTAAAGTTACTCTTATAAAAGGCCAAGTTGTAATGATTGTCCAATTTGATTAAACGCAAAATGTATGCTATTTAAAGGGGAAAAAATGAGTAGCAAATTGCCTTAGCTTTTTAAAATAATTTGTTTTATCACCTAAGAATACTTGAGGATCTTCTTTGATCAGAGTTATATTTCATTGAATTGTTGAAGCATTTCTGATTTTTTTTTTTTAAGAAAACATCTAATTGTTGAAGCATTTCTGTATTTCACTTGGGGTAGCAGAGACATTTATTTTACCGTCATGAGTTTCAAGTTGCAATTTACATCTTATATCATCCTTGATTGCTCTAAGTTGCCAGAGTTATCAGGTAACTGGTGGTTGCTGGTTTTTTTTGGAGTTACGCTACACATATAGTATTTCTCATTTAGCATTTTCTGTAAAGAGGGCAAGTGTGAGGATAACAGGTGGGCTCCTGACTCGTCCGTCCTGAGTCTCACGCCACAGGTGATGGTCATTGCTTGCTGCTCCATCTTTATTCATCTTTACTGTTAATTTATGACAACTCAGGGGGAAAAAATATAACAAGCCTAGTTTGGTTACAGGTACACACAAGCTTGAATATTTCTCTGCACTGAAATGAAAGTGGCATAGTTCATCCCCACCTGCTACATTTGTATAGCATTTTATCAGCCATAGAAATAGGACAATCTGTAAAACTTTGGGGGGTGGGGAGTAAATGACAAAGTGTCTGTCAGACACACCTACCGCAAGTGGATGTAGCAAACCTCTGTCACTGCCTGAGAAGGACTTTGAGCTGGTGGCAGTTTTGCAGACTTTTGTGACTTCAGCACTTTACATTTTTTACTATGAATGTTCAATACAATTTAATATTTATAACTAATTTCTGAGAAATCTGCTCTATGTTCATTCTGTTAACTGCATGAAAAAAATGTATGCCAATTTCAGTATGTCAGTAATCGCAGTTTTAAATGTTTGGAAGAAAATTAAAACGGGATTGCCGATTTGTTCTTTTATGTATTAGTGACATTCTGGTACTTCTAGATTTGCAATAAATGTATGGCTTTTTTATTTACAGAGACTAATTAGTTTTTTATTGACCCGTTAGCATTCATCGTTTGATCCAATTAAAGTTGTAAAAACTCAAGGAAGATTCATTTTGAATAAATAACTTTTTTTAACTTTTCTGCAAAATCTTTTAACTTTACTAGAAGACACATAAACATTTCCAAGAAGTATTTGTTGAATTATTTGTTAAATGAAAAATACATGAATGAAATGACATCATGGTGGCCACAAAGTAATAGCTAAACTTATCAATCTATATTCAGAATACTCCTGAGAACTATTCTAATCTCTAAGTAAACAGCACAGACTCTCCACGCCAGGAGCTGCCAAACTTTTTCTGTAAAGGTCCAGGTAGAAAATATTTAAGGCTTTGCGGGCTCTCTCATGACTATTCAACTCATTCATCATAGCACAAAAGCAGCCACAGACAATATGTAAATGAACGAGATGGCTGTTTCAATAAAAGGCTATGGATACTGAAATTTGAATTTCATAACATTTTCACACACCATGAAATATTATTGATTTTTTCCAACCAATATGTAAAAACCATTATTAGCTCACAGGCTGTAAAGTGAGATAGGCAGCGGACTGGATTTGGCCTGTGGACTGCATTTTCTGACCCCTGCTCCTTGCATCTGTGACCATGGGGTGCAGAGGTACCCCCAGGGGCACAGCTCTGTAAATTAACAGTCCTGATGACAGGAAAGGGACGCTGAGGTCAAAGTGGTCCTTAGATCACAGGTGCCAAAGAGGAAGGAGCAGCAGCTGATAGCATGTTAATTATAAAGTTTCATTTCCTGTGATTAGGGAGACTCACCTTAACCTTGCTGACTTTATATTTCAGTAGAAATGTAGGCTGTTTCCCTCCCAAAAAGTAAAATTATTCCAATTGTAAAAATGAGTTCAGCTCATGTGCTCTTTTAAGACAAAGGCATCATAACCTGATACAATGTTTCCAAACCGCTTACCAAAGTTAGCAATTTTATACTCCAATAATGTGTAAGGTAGCTTTTGTGCACTTATTTGCCTTTCTTTTAGCTTAATACCTGGGATAAGATAGAAAATGGATTCTAAGTCAGGATGCCCTGGCCCAGCTATCCATTCAAGTCACCTAGAGGTATTTATTACATTTAGATTTCCATACACCTCAAATATTCTAAATCAGAAGTCATCATGAACCCTTATTTTAAAAAGCTCCTTGATATGGGGCTCACTAATAGGAATCTAGAGTTTAAAAGCCATTGCCTTTAAAATTTTAAATGGTTATGAGCATTACTTAAAACGACCAATTTAAAGATAATTCAGACATGCTATTTGCTAAAAGGTCTACTGTAAATATACATTGCACTGAGAAAAGAGAAGCTGTCCTTGTCTTCAGATTTGTCTTTAACATAGATGTTAATGTAAGTGAGGAGTACCATTCCAACAGGTGGGCCAGCCACCGTGGTATAACGAAGGAAACTAGCTCCCTCTGGTGTTCGATTTCTGTAATGACTCCTCGAGGGTGTAGAACAAGAAAAGCGGCAAGTTCAGGATTCTTCAACTTGGCTTTTCACGTAAGAAGAATTCTCACATCCAAATCAAAATCACTTCCGTGACTATGAATTTCCTAGAGGGTAAATTGGACACAAAAACTGATATCCCAGACACTTTATCTATAAATGTTTTTTAAATATAGCTCACCAAAGATTATGGAAAGAAAACACAAATTCTGGCCAGGTATTTATTTTATTTATATATCTTTCCAGCAACTCAAGAAAAGAACAAGGATGCTAACTCTCCCAGCAACTTACTCCCCTGGAATTCAAGCAAAGCTTTAAGTACCTTCTCTACACTGATGATTCCCATTCTAAATCCCCGCTTTGCCACTCAGCTCCAGGCTTATATACGCCTGTGCGACAGCCGTGGGTACCAACTTGGCACATCCACGTCCTCATTCCACATGTTCCATTAACACATCCTCAGCAGAAGCCTTGATCCTCCTCCCCAAACCTGCTCCTCCACAAATCCTATTGGCTCTACTTTCTAAAGATATCCAGAACTGGACTCCTTTTGCCAACTCTACCAGCACCCCTGATCCACGCCAGTATCATCTTAGCTGGATTACAGCAACATAACGATCTTCTAGCTGGTTTACCCGCTTCCCCCTCTCATTACACACCCTCCCCACCTCACCCTCGCCTTAATTTCCCATAGAGAAGTCTTCAATAATCCTTTCAAAGCACAAGTCAGACATGATCGCATTTAAAACCTAAAATCCTTAACACTGGGCTCTTCGCGAACTGCCTGATACCATTATTGCCCCTTACGCCAGCTACTCCAGCCGCCTTATTCTTCTTATTATTGTTCCTTGAAAACACAAGCCTCAGGCCTTAGCATCTGTGGTGCCCTTTGCCTGGTACTCCCTTCCCTGAGATGTGTACATGACGTGACCCTTCAATTTGGTCCCCCCTGAAGTCACTCTCCTGAGGAGGCATTCCTGACTCCTCTACCCTAAACAGTGCTTGTTTCTCTTCCTTTACTCTGATCTGAAGTTATAAAAGTATGTGTTTACTCATTTATTATCTGTCTTTTCCACCTGTACATTAGGGTAGCAGTTTTTGGTTCACTGCTATAATCCCAAGGCTTGGAGCAGGGCCTGACACACAGTAGGTGGCGCTCCAAAAATATTGTTGTATAAATGAATGATTGAGTTATTTTACATAGACTTTTTTTTTAATTACACAAGAGAAAAAAATGATATCTATTTACTATCACAGCTCAAGAGAATCTGGTGCTGCAACGAAGCAGCAGGACAGACAGAGGACAATGAAAGCCCTGTGATCGAAACCAGTAGGCCCAGCATCTGAGTGGGTCTCCAATGCAATGTTGTACACAGGCAGGTCAGCTGTAAGGAAGAAAACATGGACCCCTCAGCAGAGACTAAACAAACAGTGGGAAGAAATTACCGTGAGGGTGGGTATGCCAATAGAGGGCTGGGAGTTGTAACCTACTGCTGGAGCAGATTTTGTTTTAACTTAACCTGTTTTGCAGTAGACATTTTTTTCATGATGCTTTTTTCACTGCCTCAACTGGCAGCAAGCTCTTTTCTGGATAAGGAATGTCTCTTTTTTTGGTCCTAAGGCAAAGTACACAGACTGTGATTTCTCTGATTTTGAGCAACCTCAGATGGCCCCACTTGAATA